TTTAACCATTCATCCACGGATAACGCAAACTCGCGCAGACGTCGCAAGAAACACAAAACGGCTTCCTTCATAATCGCCATTGTCGCTTTTTTCTTGGGATGCTACGTGGTGGTAAACTATTTAGTTTTGTGCATGGCTTTTTCTTGTCATAATTTCTCCGATGAAGCTGGCTTGATCCTCATATTATTCCTGGTTCTGAACTCCTCGGTTAATCCTTTGGCTTACGCATTTTTGAAGAAAGATATTAAGATGAAAATAAAACAGCTTATCCGCGGAGGAAACTAGCGCAAAGTATTCCTGCTAAACTTTTCTGAGACTGAGCTTTAATATTTTAGTATGTTGTAGATAAGCCTCGATTAAGGCGAAAGGATCAAACGTTAGTATCATCTATAAACTGTTTTTTAAATGTGAGATGATGGCAATATTCAACACATTTTTAATTACGGTTCAGATGTAGGGTCGAGTTAATATCCAGTAATGGGAAGTTTATCATCTTTTCTAGTTACAAGCCTGGTCACGAAAAAAGTGGTTACTTTGACGATCTATCGACTGCGAACATCATTAGTATTGCTTCCATATGATTAATGACGAAGCCAAAGTTTTGATTCAAGAAACTGATGTGCCCTTAAATGCAAATTTAAAACGGCGGTCTGGATTGAGTTAAGCGTCTTTTCATTGCGTCGACAGGTGCTCGAGAATGTAATGTTAATTTCAAACTTCATAAACATTTCATAAAGTCGATCCTAAGCAAATGGTTGGGACATCCGTGATTAAATAATGAAAGCAAGACTGCAATTTTGGCTTCGTTTAATTTGGCCCATATATGGCCCATATATGGCCCTGAGCTCGGTCATTCTTCTTGCTAAGCTTGCCTCCTAAAATCTGATCCGCACACAGAAGTCATTCTTTCAGAAAAACTATTTGCAGCCGGGACGTTCTCGTCACCAGAATCTCCGTTTCTTTTGGTCTCGTGGTCAGCGGACAACATTTCATGACGAGTTGCACCAACACCGCGGTCAAACGTCGGGCATGCGCAAATTGGTACATTTTTTGGCAGCCGCGCGCCAATTTCCCGCGCAAAAATTTAAAGGAAACAATGGGAAACAACCGGCGTCACGCAAAATTTACGAAAAAAATTGAAAAGTTCATAGAAATCTGTAAAAGGAAAAGAAAGCAGGTAAAAGGAAAACTTAAGACTTTTCAGACACAANTTAAATGCAAATTTAAAACGGTGGAACCTTTTAAGCGTCTTTTCATTGTGTCGACAGGTGCTCGAGAATGCGATGTTAATTTCAAACTTCATGAACATTTCATAAAGTCGATCCTAACTAAATGGTTGGGACATCCGTGATTAAATAATGAAAGTAAGACTGCAATTTTGGCTTCGTTTAATTTGGCCTATATATCATCTCTGACTTGATTATGTCAATAATCTAGGTAGTCTTTTATATTAATAGTGCATGCCCTCAGGAAATGCATATAGACACACACTTCACAGTGGCGTCAACCCAAGCAATGCATGGAATAAAATCTCTACCTTTTGTGATAAGCGGGATGTTTTTTTATTTGGATATATAAAGCAGGGAACACACTAAACGGTGATTGAAAATATTCGAAAATAAAGAAGGGCCCCAGCCAGGATGAAACATGGTAAAATATAAAAACATTTTCTGGCTTAAAGTATACAAAAAACACGAGCTTTCGACTGTCTTAATTACAGTCTTCAGTGGGCGAAATGGTATAGAAAAGCTAAAGATTCAATTGTTATTGAACCGGCCAAAATTCCCTTCATCCTGTCGAGAAAGACATCTCTTCGGCCGCTATTTATATTTTTTAGGCTGAAAGTCTGTTTCATTAATTTCCTGCAAAAGGTTTTCTGTCAGTTAGATCACTTTTCTGCAATTTTAATGTAAATAATTTTTTTTTTTAATTTTCATTCTCTGAAAAAAGTGAGAAAGCGGAAACAATAAGGGTTATAAATTTAAGACTGGATGACGCCGAAACTTAATCAGGATATCTTCTCAATCAAAACATTTCAGGCCATTTGGCTCTTGGTAGTATGTGAGAAATAAATACCGTACATGGTGATGATTTTGAAAGCACTTCAAGGATCGATAGCTTACTTCCAAATTTTTTCGATAACCATGATTACGGCTGGAGTGAACAAGTGAATATTTGTTTTGGATACACACACTGAAATCTCATTCAATCCGCAAAGTGAACTAAAGCTTTTTACAAATTGCTCGAGTTTTGCGGGCTTTATAAATTTCTCTGCCAGCTTTCTCTAATATCATCAGGTGTATTGAGTACTTTTCCCCTTAGGAGTCCAATTCCCGAATCAGAAAATCCAATATCCAGAGGTCATTGCACACTACCACAAAAACAAGAATATACATTTCTAAGCCTGGTGTGCCTCTGCTTAGCTTCAACCAATTGAAATTTGGGACAAGTTGATTGAGAGAAAATGTCAACAGAACAAAATTATTCAGTTACGGAAACAATGTTTCAGATGACTTGTTGTAAGGGATGGTCTTGGGTAAATGATGGTCGTGACAGTTTACCCTTTTAAAAAATTGTTTCCTGATTTCATTCATTGTTATTCATATTGGCATAAAGGCAGCTGGTATGTAAAATGAATTTATGAAGCATCGTAAAATGATATCAATCGGTTCGTACGATGTACATTTGGATATCTGTGGAGCCGACAAGTGATCATAACACACGCACTGAGAAACCGGGAGCAGAAACGAATTAGCAAGTAATCTGCAATAGGTCGTTATAAGAAGCGCACCGGGACAACATGGAAAGTCTCCTTAACTCATTCGGCTGGATACTTTCAATCATAACAGCAGCAGGAAACGGCTTCGTAGTACTTCTTGTCGCCAAAAATCGCCGCCTGCATTCCTCGGCCAACAAGTTCGTCCTTTCCTTAGCAGTGGCTGACTTTGGCGTCGGAATCACCGTTTTTCCGTCAAGTTATTTTTGCAATTACTCAATGGCGTGTAACTTGAGCGTGCAAAAGGCATTCTTCTGGTTCTTCCTTCACTCTTCAGTCACAAATCTTTGCTCCTTGACTTGGGATCGTTACCTCGCCATCGTTCATCCTTTAAAATACAATACCTCCATGACTGTGAGACGCCCCGGAATAGTTATCTTAATAGCATGGTTGATTCCTTTGGCTATCTCGCTGTCACTTCTCGTGGGAATGTACGCCACAACTTCCAACATTGCTCAAAATGTTATACAACTAACTGGCGTGTCTGCCTTTGACATAATCTCCTGCGTATTGCTCTTCTATACTGTTGTTCGTATCCTCGTTGTTGCACGCGCACAGTCTCACAAAGAAGCTCAGAAAGAAGCTGCAATAGAACTACAAGTTCAGTTTACCCACTCATCCACGGATAACGCAAACTCGCGCAGACGTCGCAAGAAACACAAAACGGCTTCCTTCATAATCGCCATTGTCGCTTTTTTCTTGGGATGCTACGTGGTGGTAAACTATTTAGTTTTGTGCATGGCTTTTTCTTGTCATAATTTCTCCGATGAAGCTGGCTTGATCCTCATATTATTCCTGGTTCTGAACTCCTCGGTTAATCCTTTGGCTTACGCATTTTTGAAGAAAGATATTAAGATGGAAATAAAACAGCTTATCCGCGGAGGAAACTAGCGCAAAATAATCCTGCTAAACTTTTCTCTAAGTCTGAGCTTTAATATTTCAGTATGTTGTAAATAAGCCTCGATTAAGGCGAAAGGATCAAACGTTAGTATCATCTATAAACTGTTTTTTAAATGTGAGATAATGGCAATATTCAACACCTTTTAATCACGGTTCAGATGTAGGGTCGAGTTAATATCCAGTAATGGGAAGTTTAGCATCTTTTTTTGTTAGAAGTCTGGTCACGAAAAAAGTGGTTAATTTTACGATCTATCGACTGCGAACATCATTAGTATTGCTTCCATATGATTAATGACGAAGCCAAAGTTTTGATTCAAGAAACTGATGTGCCTTTAAATGCAAATTTAAAACGGCGGAACCTTTTAAGCGTCTTTTCATTGTGTCGACAGGTGCTCGAGAATGCGATGTTAACTTCAAACTTCATAGACATTTCATAAAGTCGATCCTAAGTAAATGGTTGGGACATTCGTGATTAAATAATGAAAGCAAGACTGCGATTTTGGCTTCGTTTAATTTGGCCTATATATCATCTCTGACTTGATTATGTCAATAATCTAGGTAGTCTTTTATATTAATAGTGCATGCCCTCAGGAAATGCATATAGACACACACTTCACAGTGGCGTCAACCCAAGCAATGCATGGAATAAAATCTCTACCTTTTGTGATAAGCGGGATGTTTTTTTGTTTGGATATATAAAGCAGGGAACACACTAAACGGTGATTGAAAATATTCGAAAACAAAGAAGGGCCGCTGCCAGGATGAAACAGTAAAATATAAAAACATTTTCTGGCTTAAAGTACATAAAAAAACACAAGCTTTCGACTGTCTTAATTACAGTCTTCAGTGGGAGAAATGGTATAAAAAAGCTAAAGATTCAATTGTTATTGAACCGGCCAAAATTCCCTTCATCCTCGTGGTCGAGAAAGACATCTCTTCGACCGCCATTTATATTTTTTAGGCTGAAAGTCTGTTTCATTAATTTTCTGCAAAAGGCTGATGGTGTAAGAATTGTTCGGCCAATCTACTAAAGTTCTTTTAGTAGAATTCTACTAAAATTCGATAAACAGGTAAAATGAGCCAGATGCCATTGCAGCACGGTTTTAGGTCACCTTGAATCAAATAACTTGAGATGACTTTCTCAAACTCAAAATAATTCATTTCGTTAAAACAAAGAAATGAGATTTGGATACCCGGAATTAATTAACATAGATTTTGACGATTTTACTTCTCCGTTTACTCCTTGGTGTTTTTTTCGATTGAGAAGATATATCAAACACTCGAGACAGTGTTTCATCGGCTCTCCAAACACCTCGAATGTCGTCAAAAATACTCCGCTGAGCGTCGTACTTTCAACTCTATTCTCGGTGTTTGGATATCCCGATGAAACACTGTCTCTCGTGTTTGATATATTATTTACTGCCCTTCAAACAAGCTTAGATATGATTTATGTGCTCTCCTTTTCTAAGCTTGTCGTGAATGCTTAAAAGTCAGGATACTGGGCTAAAAACTAGGATGTTAATAAACCGAAACGTTAGAATGGTTATATTCTGGCAATATGAATAATTACGATGTCAAAAAGATCTCAAGGATACCAGCGAGCAGTTTCAAAGGCACCAAGCCACCTTATGTCAAACCTGTGATAAGACTTTTTTCCTCTTCTGCGACCTTTATCATGATCAAGTACCACTCCTTTATTTCGGAATATAGCTGCTGTATACTCGCTAATGGAGCTGGGTCTGCATTTTTTGATTATAGATGTTCGACTGGAAATTACAGAGCACGTATCTCCCGGGTGCTGTGTGACTAGCACAATTTCCGCCCCTTCTCAGACGTAAAAAATCGTTCTTTCATGCTATATTCTAATTCAAATAAAAGATGGTGTTTCTAAGTTTGCTAAGAAAATCACGTAATGCACTTTTGAGGCGTAGAAAAACTGATGAACGCAGTCGCGTTCCGCTCCGCAGTTTTTCTAGACCTCAAGCAGGAATTATTTTCTTACAGAACATAGCACGCCATTTCTGTGACTGATACACGACTCATGACAAAGAGAACTTTAATAAAACTTCGGCTGAATCTTCGAACTGTTCCGTTCGTTACACAAACTTTAAAAAACAATACGCCCGAACTCAAAGTGTCTGCTACCTGGCTGTTTAACTACTGGAAGTTGATAAAGGTAAATCAACCGCCCCAGCGAATTTGGGAAAAGTTAACGTTAGGTTTTAGCTTTTTTGGATTTTCCCAAATTTCCTTGGGCGGTCACTATAACTTTAACGACTTCAATTTGATTATCAACTAAGTGCTTCAAAAGCAGATTTGCACGTTGCCGTCGTTTGACTTCAACTATCAGAATTCCTTTCGTCTTTTCTTTACTATTTAAATTTAAAGTTACAGTGGGTTTTAAAGAACAATTGCTCCAATTAGCATAACAAACAGAAAGAGTGAAGGATTCTGCTAGTTGTAGTCACATGACGCCATCATGCAAATCGCCTATTGCATGCCCGCCAACGCAGTACAACAGATTCTTTAGAAACCAAGCACTTGTTCGGTACCGAGTTGGTTTTGGGCAAATTAAAATACTGTCCGCGCTACCGCAGTTCCCATCACTGTCATCATCTGTCTCCGTTTCTATTAGAACACCACGCTTCTAATGTGCTTGATGTCAGTAACGAAGTGCTCAAATTGTTCACGATTTTGTGTGGAAATAATGGTATTGTAATGACCTTCAAAAACGGAGAGAACGATGACGTCACCAACCACTTGGATAGCAACCAGGCCAGCCACATGGAATGTCCGAGACGTCATCGTAGCTCTGCATACGCATGTCTGGGCATGCGCAGACGTTTATCACAGTTCCTTTGAATTTCATTTAACGGAAAATGAACTGACGTGGTGTAAACGTCCGTGAAACTTGTCAGAATACCCTGTAGTAAAATTGTTTACTTCACTTTGCCAACATGGTGTTCTTTTATCACAGCTTCATCCCACGGACCATGAATATTACTGCAAAGGAAAAAAAAACCAAAAAACAAAAAGAAATAACGTTTCAAAGTGAGAAATCAATGTTACTTGTCGCTACTGCTTGGCAGCGAGCACAAGTACTGAGGGATTAAAATAAAGGTTTCCGTACATCACTTTCTCCTCTCAGTTAGACAAATTAAGGATTGGGTGTTCCATTGTCCCACAACGTCAACCACATTTAGTTCTCTCTACCCTCACAACTTTGATTCCAGTACTCCATTGCAAACATATGAACACTTGTATTGCATCCAGAGAGAGGATGACCAAGGCAAACGAGTCACAGCTAAACCAAACTACGCGATCAAAGAATAATTTGAAAGGTTTGCAAAGGTCACCTGGGTAATGGCGTAGCGCATGGACACTTTGCACGCGTTTCTCATTGTTATCTAATACGAAAAAATATGAAACTCTACCCCAGTGACTTGTGTGACTCCCGTGCCAGCTGTAACTTAAACTAGTTCTGAGTTTCTATTGAAGTCCTCATTTTTTTCTCAGCCACAAGAGATTCGTTCTTACTTTTTCAACCGTTGTAGCTTAATCAGCCAAAACGGACACACAAACGTTACCGCCAGGTGCACCAGAGCCAGCAACACTGCAAACAGTGGGGACAGCGGCCATAACATCGCTATAGCAACCAATACTAGAGACCAAGTAACGACGACGTGGCTTGTGGGAAGCTGCATCTAATCAAAGACAAAATTCAGTGTTATGGGTCATTTCTTAACTACAACAAAAAAATAAACCCCTAATATCCCTGGGATAATGATAACAGAAATATTACCAAGTAAAATTAACATTAGGTGCTTGTCAAATCTAGCTCTTGCTGTTTTAAATTTGAGAGAAAAAATGTGCTTAGAAACTTTTGTTGATGTGAAAGACAGTTATCGCTTTAGGAATCACCTTACTCGCTGAAATAAGACAATAGATACGGTATGATTTAACTAATAAAAATCTCGATGGGAAAGAGTACCATGAGGCAATAACTTCTTTCAAGTGGCCTTTGTTTTTAGCTCGTTCCTAGCAAAATACAAACACAATTTTCATGCCAGACAGAAAACAATCTCTATAAATAAAACCTCTGCAGAACACAATGGTTGACGCCCCCTAAAAGACTCAAATCTAGTTCTTGCTGTTTTTAATTTGTAACTCAATACAGTGGAATCCCGGTTTCTCGAACCCTCAGGTTTTCCAACCTCCCGATAATTAGAACCAAAAGTCAGCGTTTGCCCCCCTCAGACAAACACTGTTATTTTACCGCCGATTTCTCGAACTCTCCGATTTTTCGAACCAATATTCGTTTCCCTTGGAGGTTCGAAAAATCGGGATTCCCCTGTATTTCATTTCATGAAGAGAGCTTGAAGACTGTGCACAGTACCTTAAGCTGTCTTCTCAGAGACGGAAAGAGAGCAAACAACTGCATGGCGAAAGTAACAGTGGCGAACACATGCCAGGAGGAAGGAAGACGGGACGCCAAACACACAGACGCGAAGATGGAGGCGTTCAGAGAGGCGGACCTGGAAACACTGACAAAATAATAACATCAAAATAATGTAATTTATCTAAAATGTTTTAAACGCACTACTGTGCTAATTATGGACAGTGCAAATAAACAAACACTGAAATATTGCAAAAGAAAGAAGAAACACTTGTCACGAAACCTAACTAACCTAACAAATTAAAGGCGCTCATGACCAGCTGTTTCCCGGGAGTAACAAGAACAGATCCAGCTAGTGTCAAGGTGGAGGATTATTTGTATGGATGTTTTCTTTGCATTATAAGCCCAAGTGCAAGTGAAAGTGGAAAAGTTAGGGGCAAAAAACATTAAACAAGATTAAACAAAATACGCTTAAAGGAAAGATGCCTCAAGTTACCAAAACACTTTTAAAAGGATAACTCAATTATAGTCAGTTATAGTAGAAAAACACCTGAAGGGTAACAAAAACGAAAGAATGAAAAAAATACTTTTAGACTGGGAAAGATGACCGGGCCGTAGACAAAGCTGTGCCATCCATGAAGCTTGGTACTGCACACATTCTCGACATTCTCCGCTCTTACGTTTGGAATACAGAGCTTTTAGATATTGATGTTCCCAGACAGCACTTACATTGCAGCACTTGTTCCATAATCATAAAGTAGTAGGTTCATTGCGAGCATGAAAGTCTGAATAGGTAACCAAAAGAAATCATCAAGGCACATGGTGCATTTGTATACTATATATGCAACAAAGTCATTTTAAGATACCAGACGGCTTCATGTGCATGTAGAAAGCACATTATGCAAAGCTGTTTGTAAAACTAACATCACAACCAGAGCACATACAGACCTGTTCTATGTAGTCCGTCCATGCAATTTTTTTCTGTGAGTTTAGCTTGTTCATATCTTTTGATGGTTAAATTAACTCAAGGTAAAAGAGAGGTCTGTGGGCAGACTACTCTCTATGCTCCACCCAGCACATAAAGATTGTGCGCAAAACAGGGGAAAAGACAGTAATCAATGTAAACAAAGATGCCTGTTAAAATGACTTTCTAATATTCACTCCATGGCAATATATATGATTCTACTATTTTAGTACAAATACAATATGTGATAAATATTATTTAAATATGTGATAAATATTATTGAATACACCACCAATTTAACAAACAACAGGTATGTTGTTGTTACTTCTAATAATTGTTATCAAATGATTATTAATGTCAGCTTGAGTAATAAGTTCTTAAAGATGGCTAAAGATTATTTTAAGTAATTACCCTAGGCTTATCTTGGCAGTACTTACTGTCATGGCATAAATTGTATCTGTACTAATGGAATCAGTCAAAGTCTTCAAAACTGGAGACAATGCAAACACAGAGCCAAGAACTACCACACTACTCTTGAGGTCATCTAATCCTGGAAAAAGTAAAAGGTTCTCATAGAATCCTTCAAACAGAACAAGTTACTGAGCTGATGTTTTTTTTAAGTAATATCTCATTCATATTTCTATTATTGACAGCTAACCTTATATTCAGGATAACCTGAGTGATATTCAGGCTAAATGGAGCACAATTTAGGCCTAAATGTAAGCCGAAGTCTGCAGTCTGCAAATGTCAGACACCTGACCAGCCAGTCAGCAACAGCAAGTGGAAGCCAATAGAAGATAATAATTAATCTGTGTTGTAAAGTTCTTACTTGTTCTTTTCGATGCGGATCTCAATCTTCCTCCATCCAAAGCATCAAACAGTACGTAACCAAGCAGTGTCAACATAGAGGAGACAGCAAACAGCACAGAGGGTGACAGGAGTCCAAAGTCCATGTACACAAATGCCGCCACAAATATGCAAACACTGGGCATGCAAAACAAAGGGAATCAATAAAGGCACATTACTGTTATTTCTGAATGTGATTTTTCTGTAACATGTTGGTCAGGGATATTAAAACATGAAGTTTTGTTGACAACATGTCACCATTATCAAATGGAAATAGTTAATATATGTTAGGCAATGTTATATACAGACATGAAAGTGTGAAAGTTCATTAGAATAAAATGAGGTGTGGAAACCAAAAGAATGTACATAACTAATGAAGTGAACAGTTTCACTGGGATGGGGTCTGTTTGAGTGTTTAAGTCTCTTTTTTCCTAATAAATTAAAATAATTTAATTAGTTTTAAACTAAAGCAAGCCTCTTTCTGACTTAGTTTCTTTATTTTTAACCCTCAACTCCCTACGAGTACCATTTGGCACACAACATCATAACCTTGTGAATATTTGAGAGATTTTCTATGTTCAAATTTTTGCCACGCAAATTGTCTTGTAAAGATCTGCTCATTGAAGGCATAAAATTGTGACCCCCTCCTATCAAAGACATGGGTGACCACCCCATAATTTTCTAATTTCTTTTTTGAGATGCACACGGAATGAAAGACTTGTTACACATCAAGCTATGTACTAAGACCTGCTAAATGAGCTATAGTTCAGGGGCATACCTATGATATTTGAGAATTGATACGTGTTGGAAGCTTTTCAGTTTCACATTTTAAAACAATTTCGTTCAAAATGACTACCTCCTTCATAGCTGCCGATATCAGTTCTTAAATAAGCTGGTCAGTAGCTTTCAATTGGTGTATTGTACACAGGCAGAGTCTTTATTTGATGATTTAGGAAAAAATGCCGTTCGCCTTAATGGTGGTCATCCAACTGGTTTAGCTTCATAGTTATTTTGGATGACCAGCCACTGAATGTATTTTTAATTAATATTGTATAATAATTAATTCCTTTTATTGTTTTAGTTTTAATAAGAAGAAACTTGTAAATAAGGCTCTTAAACTTTCCACAGTATTTTAAGATCCTTGATTGCTCATGAAGATAAGTGGGCTTTAGCTTTTTCTTTAAAATTGTAAATTGATCATACAGCATTTCTCTTAGCATTCTCTTCTACCCATCGTAAATGTACTATGTTTATTTCCATCAAACAATCCCATTGATGTTTGCACCGATGCTTTCAGTCCAGATGTCACTCTTTGTGAAATTGAGCTACCGCTGTGATATGATACCAAGTAAAAAGAGGTCAAAAAAGGCATGCGAGTTAAGGTCTAAGGTTCAGTTGATTCAGAAGTGAGTTTTCATGATGTCAATTGTGAGCCTTTTTGAAAAAGGAACATTCATTATAAAAATGTACCTTTGAGATTTTTGTCCAGTGCATGACATTTGCAGACTGCAGATTACAAGTCTACCGCAGACCGCAGACCGCAGACCACAGACCGCAGGCCACAGACGACAGACTGCAGACTGACAGGGGAAATTCTCACAACAGCATCATCATCAACAACATAATTCCCCACACATACATACTTACACACTTTATTGGCTCATTCCCACGGGGCTTTTCAGAGTCAGTGTTACATTAAAACAATTTTAAAATGCAGAGAGCTAAACACATGACGATGATAACGTAAAAAAAATAGACATAATGATATCAGTCTCATTCCAAAGATTCTGTGAGCTCTCTTCTCCTGGCATTTCATAATGGTGAACTTACTTTGGTGTGACCAATAAAACAAATGTCGTAAATTGCCAATACATTACTTCTCTCTTAATAATACTATAGTACTGTGAATACTGTGTGTAATTAGTTGAAAGCAGTGTTTGAACCTTAATTATCCGAAATTGCACATGTAACGTAAGTAATCACTATTTAGCACCTCACTAGACAGTGCTTGTTTCCACTTTTTCACACCTGTGTTCTTAAGCCACAAACAACTACAGCAGAAACCTTGCAGATACCATTCAAATTATATTGTTTTTAGCAAGTTTACTAGGGGAACATTCTGAGGTGAGGTAAAGAAGGTATACTCAGCAACTGTACTGTGGCCAAATTAGGGAAATTGGAAAAGGAATAAAAAATGGTAAGAGCCATTCTTCTTGGTTAGCCCTGTTTAATCAGAGAATGTCGTTCCGTTTTCCTCCTGTATTCCCACTAATCTCTGACTGGTCGGTTGGGCATAATGGAAAGCACCCTATTTCGGTGTTAAGTCAATTTACAGTCTGCAGTCTGCAGTCTGCAAATGTCATACTGATTTTTTGTCTAACTGTCCACAGAATTTCAGAACTTCTTACCTGCTTACTTGCTGAGATACTGCCCCTGATTCCAATACCACCGACCAGAACTGATAAGTTCTTGTATTTACTGCAAAACATACCAACATTTCAGTTACAGAATGCACCCACCCAACCGGCAAATAATATACCCATCTCTGGTTCTACAAAATGTAGTTTGTCCTATATGTCCTATATAAAGGAAAAGTATGTAAAGGAAAGTATGATAAATGAACAGTATCAGGCTATAAATCATGCCTATAAATCATGCCAAAAGGCAATACTCACAATTTTTCTTCATTTCTTCGAGAAATGACTTGTCCACATAGTTGTCTGGAACACCTTGGTCTTCGTAAAGCACTTTTTTCCAGGGCTTTTTCCATTTCATTTGAGCTGAAAGAAAGTCATCATCCTTTCCAGTGTCAGTAATCATGGCTTGCAGAACAGCAAACCAAATCGGAGGGCTGTCCGCCATGTTGGAATTGAGGAACATTTAGGAAAACTACATGATGCGTACATGACAGAGTGTTTGATCACGTTGCTTACGGTACCTCTACAGACTGTAGGCTCCAATCTATAATTAGAAGTCTCAGAGATGAGTGTGATTTCACTGTGGCAGAGTTTGTAGGACGTGTTGTTGGCTTTTTGCAGTGAAATAACTTACACCTCACCTCNAATTTCAGAACTTCTTACCTGCTTACTTGCTGAGATACTGCCCCTGATTCCAATACCACCGACCAGAACTCGTAAGTTCTTGTATATACTGCAAAACATACCAACATTTCAGTTACTATGCACCCACCCAACCGGCAATTAATACACTCGTCTCCGGTTCTACAAAATGTAGTTTGTCCTATATAAAGGAAAGTATGATAAATGAACAGTGTCAGGCTATAAATCATGCCTATAAATCATGCCAAAAGGCATTATAAAGTTTAATTCTCACAATTTTTCTTCATTTCTTCGAGAAATGACTTGTCCACATAGTTGTCTGGGACACCTTGGTCTTCGTAAAGCACTTTTTTCCATGGCTTTTTCCATTTCATTTGAGCTGAAAGAAAGTCATCATCCTTTCCAGTGTCAGTAATCATGGCTTGTAGAACAGCAAACCAAATCGGAGGGCTGTCCGCCATATTGGAATTGAGGAACATTTAGGAAAACTATATGATGCGTACATGACGGAGTGTTTGATCATGTTGCTTACGGTACCTCTACAGACTGTAGGCTCCAATCTATAATTAGAAGTCTCAGTGATGAGTGTGATTTCACTGTGGCAGAGTTTCTAGGACGTGTTGTTGGCTTTTTGCAGTGAAATAACTTACACCTCACCTCAAGTATCATAGAAGGATACAGAAGAATTTCAGTTCTGGAAAGAAGTCAATATTCTGTGATTTCGAAGCAACGGTACTTCCGCTTTGTTATTACTCGGCCAAGATGGAGGAAGAACACAGAAATATCCTTATAAGGCGTCGGACAGCAATCACGAATGATTTAGAGGTGAAGAAGGTGTTGAATAAACTAANCCTATTAGGAGTTCTGCTCAAAATTTCCAAAAAGGACGTACCTCCTTCCTTTTTAGATAGGAGTTCTCCCGGGAGTCAGCTAATCTCATGGCTACCGTAAAACAAAGGTGTTAGTTTCAAAAGAACCTCCAATTATCAATTTGAAGTTGATAAAGCTAAATCAACCGCCGTAGCGAGTTCCTAGAGATGATGTTTAGAGCGTTGACTCTCGGCTCCACACGACGAAAGGCCAACCTGCCCTACAAACTTGTTAGGATAGTCTATTTACTGTTTAATTATCACCTTCAAGTTTATAAATTTGGAACTGTGTCATTGGAATTTGTCAAGCAACTTTGCATGACAACTAAAAGAGAACTACCTTGAGTAAGATGTTAATGCTATTCATTCTTTTTCTAGTGTTAAAAACACTTTAATACTCTCAGGTGGGTTTTCCAAACTCTTTGACTAACTAAAGAATTGACAAGGATAAGTGTAACACGTGTGCATGTAGCTACTGTTCCACCTTCCAGACTTGCACGGGGTGGAAGATAATGTTAACAGGGATAGTTTTCCATACAGCATAATACATCCCTTCATCCAGGCACTCTATCAGGTCTCGACCATTATAGGGGTCTAAAACAGAGCATAAACAATTAATCTCAAAACAGATATATGTCTGTCTTCCTATTTATTTATGGCGAGTGAGATTGGCGACACTCGGAAAACTCTTCCCTTGTGGGTACTCCCAGAAAAATTGGGTGGGGGTGTGCGGCCTGCTTCCCAATTTAGATCGCCCAACTTTAGGGCTCCGCATTTTCAAATTTTGCAAGATACCTTAGAGCAAAAGTAAAAAGACATTCTTTTTCTTTTAATTGTACTTAAAATCTTTTCTCAAGCGCATAGGGGTCATGAACAATACACGATTCTTTGAGAGTCCCGTGGCAAGTTACAGTAATGGACACAGCATTGAAATATGCATTTTTGTAATACTGTTTGTTAGTTGCAAACAAAGGGAAAGAAAATCAGCTCATTTGTTAAATATTCATTGCATTAAATACACTCATTTTGAACTAATTCATTTAGAACTAACTCATTTTGAACGAATTACTGTGAATTCAGATTGCTACAGACTGGTGTTTCCCGCTGTGTGTTTTTTGTTGCTGTTATTTTGCATCGGCTACTGGACTTTCAATTGTAATATTGTGACTTAAGTAATTTGTTGGAACTCGTCGCGGGAATGGCATGGTGTGAATATGCTGCTCAAGTAGGTTGACAGTGTGGAGCTAGTGCAGAAAATCCAGCCAGCTCTAAATGTATGCCACTATCAAAACGCGACAAGCATATCAGAAGTCATCTGAATGAACATTTCTGTCCTTATTCATACCTTTTCTTGAAAGGGCTCATTTCCATGAGAAAGAAAGGTAGCAGAAGGAGGGTGAGTTCAGACGTCAGTCATACTTATTTGATCCCAAGTTACATTATTCACCCTAATATGAAATTCTCGAAGAAAACCTTTTTCCCCAGACGAACAAAAAGCGACAAAAAGAAACTAAATATAACATATGGAGGTGAAAAGTCGTCTTTAGAACTTGAGATCAAAATAAACGGCCAAAATCCTTTAATAATTTTTCCTTAAAAGAAGTGGCAAAACACGCAAAATAATCTTGTAAACATTGGTTTGGGAGCAATGGCAAATCTGCGACCTTTCGCCACTGTTGAGAAGCTCAAATTTCACAAAAGTACTGCGTGTATTTCGGGACCTCAAAAATTTCTTTTTAAGTAGCCCATGGTTTTGAAATGGATTTCAAAAACAGAAATAATGCTCTTTTATGTGGAATAAGTCTCGATACTCTGGGCCAGGTACCAGTCAATGCAAATACTGGAAAATTTTCCAAAANATTATTTAAATATGTGATAAATATTATTGAATACACCACCAATTTAACAAACAACAGGTATGTTGTTGTTACTTCTAATAATTGTTATCAAATGATTATTAATGTCAGCTTGAGTAATAAGTTCTTAAAGATGGCTAAAGATTATTTTAAGTAATTACCCTAGGCTTATCTTGGCAGTACTTACTGTCATGGCATAAATTGTATCTGTACTAATGGAATCAGTCAAAGTCTTCAAAACTGGAGACAATGCAAACACAGAGCCAAGAACTACCACACTACTCTTGAGGTCATCTAATCCTGGAAAAAGTAAAAGGTTCTCATAGAATCCTTCAAACAGAACAAGTTACTGAGCTGATGTTTTTTTTAAGTAATATCTCATTCATATTTCTATTATTGACAGCTAACCTTATATTCAGGATAACCTGAGTGATATTCAGGCTAAATGGAGCACAATTTAGGCCTAAATGTAAGCCGAAGTCTGCAGTCTGCAAATGTCAGACACCTGACCAGCCAGTCAGCAACAGCAAGTGGAAGCCAATAGAAGATAATAATTAATCTGTGTTGTAAAGTTCTTACTTGTTCTTTTCGATGCGGATCTCAATCTTCCTCCATCCAAAGCATCAAACAGTACGTAACCAAGCAGTGTCAACATAGAGGAGACAGCAAACAGCACAGAGGGTGACAGGAGTCCAAAGTCCATGTACACAAATGCCGCCACAAATATGCAAACACTGGGCATGCAAAACAAAGGGAATCAATAAAGGCACATTACTGTTATTTCTGAATGTGATTTTTCTGTAACATGTTGGTCAGGGATATTAAAACATGAAGTTTTGTTGACAACATGTCACCATTATCAAATGGAAATAGTTAATATATGTTAGGCAATGTTATATACAGACATGAAAGTGTGAAAGTTCATTAGAATAAAATGAGGTGTGGAAACCAAAAGAATGTACATAACTAATGAAGTGAACAGTTTCACTGGGATGGGGTCTGTTTGAGTGTTTAAGTCTCTTTTTTCCTAATAAATTAAAATAATTTAATTAGTTTTAAACTAAAGCAAGCCTCTTTCTGACTTAGTTTCTTTATTTTTAACCCTCAACTCCCTACGAGTACCATTTGGCACACAACATCATAACCTTGTGAATATTTGAGAGATTTTCTATGTTCAAATTTTTGCCACGCAAATTGTCTTGTAAAGATCTGCTCATTGAAGGCATAAAATTGTGACCCCCTCCTATCAAAGACATGGGTGACCACCCCATAATTTTCTAATTTCTTTTTTGAGATGCACACGGAATGAAAGACTTGTTACACATCAAGCTATGTACTAAGACCTGCTAAATGAGCTATAGTTCAGGGGCATACCTATGATATTTGAGAATTGATACGTGTTGGAAGCTTTTCAGTTTCACATTTTAAAACAATTTCGTTCAAAATGACTACCTCCTTCATAGCTGCCGATATCAGTTCTTAAATAAGCTGGTCAGTAGCTTTCAATTGGTGTATTGTACACAGGCAGAGTCTTTATTTGATGATTTAGGAAAAAATGCCGTTCGCCTTAATGGTGGTCATCCAACTGGTTTAGCTTCATAGTTATTTTGGATGACCAGCCACTGAATGTATTTTTAATTAATATTGTATAATAATTAATTCCTTTTATTGTTTTAGTTTTAATAAGAAGAAACTTGTAAATAAGGCTCTTAAACTTTCCACAGTATTTTAAGATCCTTGATTGCTCATGAAGATAAGTGGGCTTTAGCTTTTTCTTTAAAATTGTAAATTGATCATACAGCATTTCTCTTAGCATTCTCTTCTACCCATCGTAAATGTACTATGTTTATTTCCATCAAACAATCCCATTGATGTTTGCACCGATGCTTTCAGTCCAGATGTCACTCTTTGTGAAATTGAGCTACCGCTGTGATATGATACCAAGTAAAAAGAGGTCAAAAAAGGCATGCGAGTTAAGGTCTAAGGTTCAGTTGATTCAGAAGTGAGTTTTCATGATGTCAATTGTGAGCCTTTTTGAAAAAGGAACATTCATTATAAAAATGTACCTTTGAGATTTTTGTCCAGTGCATGACATTTGCAGACTGCAGATTACAAGTCTACCGCAGACCGCAGACCGCAGACCACAGACCGCAGGCCACAGACGACAGACTGCAGACTGACAGGGGAAATTCTCACAACAGCATCATCATCAACAACATAATTCCCCACACATACATACTTACACACTTTATTGGCTCATTCCCACGGGGCTTTTCAGAGTCAGTGTTACATTAAAACAATTTTAAAATGCAGAGAGCTAAACACATGACGATGATAACGTAAAAAAAATAGACATAATGATATCAGTCTCATTCCAAAGATTCTGTGAGCTCTCTTCTCCTGGCATTTCATAATGGTGAACTTACTTTGGTGTGACCAATAAAACAAATGTCGTAAATTGCCAATACATTACTTCTCTCTTAATAATACTATAGTACTGTGAATACTGTGTGTAATTAGTTGAAAGCAGTGTTTGAACCTTAATTATCCGAAATTGCACATGTAACGTAAGTAATCACTATTTAGCACCTCACTAGACAGTGCTTGTTTCCACTTTTTCACACCTGTGTTCTTAAGCCACAAACAACTACAGCAGAAACCTTGCCGATACCATTCAAATTATATTGTTTTTAGCAAGTTTACTGGGGGAACATTCTGAGGTGAGGTAAAGAAGGTATACTCAGCAACTGTACTGTGGCCAAATTAGGGAAATTGGAAAAGGAATAAAAAATGGTAAGAGCCATTCTTCTTGGTTAGCCCTGTTTAATCAGAGAATGTCGTTCCGTTTTCCTCCTGTATTCCCACTAATCTCTGACTGGTCGGTTGGGCATAATGGAAAGCACCCTATTTCGGTGTTAAGTCAATTTACAGTCTGCAGTCTGCAGTCTGCAAATGTCATACTGATTTTTTGTCTAACTGTCCACAGAATTTCAGAACTTCTTACCTGCTTACTTGCTGAGATACTGCCCCTGATTCCAATACCACCGACCAGAACTGATAAGTTCTTGTATTTACTGCAAAACATACCAACATTTCAGTTACAGAATGCACCCACCCAACCGGCAAATAATATACCCATCTCTGGTTCTACAAAATGTAGTTTGTCCTATATGTCCTATATAAAGGAAAAGTATGTAAAGGAAAGTATGATAAATGAACAGTATCAGGCTATAAATCATGCCTATAAATCATGCCAAAAGGCAATACTCACAATTTTTCTTCATTTCTTCGAGAAATGACTTGTCCACATAGTTGTCTGGAACACCTTGGTCTTCGTAAAGCACTTTTTTCCAGGGCTTTTTCCATTTCATTTGAGCTGAAAGAAAGTCATCATCCTTTCCAGTGTCAGTAATCATGGCTTGCAGAACAGCAAACCAAATCGGAGGGCTGTCCGCCATGTTGGAATTGAGGAACATTTAGGAAAACTACATGATGCGTACATGACAGAGTGTTTGATCACGTTGCTTACGGTACCTCTACAGACTGTAGGCTCCAATCTATAATTAGAAGTCTCAGAGATGAGTGTGATTTCACTGTGGCAGAGTTTGTAGGACGTGTTGTTGGCTTTTTGCAGTGAAATAACTTACACCTCACCTCAAGTATCATAGAAGGATACAGAAGAATTTCAGTTCTGGAAAGAAGTCAATATTCTGTGATTTCGAAGCAACGGTACTTCCGCTTTGTTATTACTCGGCCAAGATGGAGGAAGAACACAGAAATATCCTTATAAGGCGTCGGACAGCAATCACGAATGATTTAGAGGTGAAGAAGGTGTTGAATAAACTAACTGTTCTTGGTGATGAGGACAGGGACGAGATAAAAGCAGAAAGAACGCGCACGGAGCAGGCTCGTGCCTTACTCGATATGCTCCCCAGGAAGGGATCAAACGCCTTCACAGATTTTGTTTCTGTTCTATATGAGGTAAAAGGCCAGGAACATCTCGCCGATCTTCTGAGAAAGGATTCAGGTATAGAAATACCGACTAATTCGAAAGGTGAGAATATTTCTTTCTCGAATATCAAAACACAGAGGGAAAAACTTTGAAATGATGACATCAATCGTGTGTCTGTCCTCTAATAAATCATAGGCGAGAACCAATCAAAATGCGAGAATTACTTGGATTATTATATAATGCTTTATAGCTGGAATATTTCAGATCATGTGTGCTAAAGGCATCCTCGGTTGAGTGTGGATCGATGCTCTCGATCAATACCCACGATCGACATCTCGATCAATACTCGATCGACATCCTGATCAATACTTGGTCGACACTCTATCTACACTTGATCAACAGTCGGTCAATAGTCGGCCAAGTGTCAACAGACTCATCTGAATCGATCAAAAATTAGTTGCCCCTCGATCTAGTGTCAGCCGTGTTGTCAATGGAGTGTCAACCAAGGTGTCAATGGAGTGTCGATCAAGTATCGATCAAGGGTATCAATCAAGGGTGTCGATCAACATTTGAACGCGGATCCCATGCCTTTAGTACACACGATCCAATATTGCTCCAACAGTGTATGCTCTCATTGGCTACTTCAAGGTGTAACAATGAAATTGTTTCTAGCCAAAAGACTCTGAACATACAACACTGCAAAATCTATGACATCAGAGTGTTAAACTATAAATGTTGACTAATGACTGCTGTTTTCACACTGGATCTGCCAATTTCTTTGTTGTGCTTTATAATAAATCACTTAATGACCAGTCTTTCAGAGGGAAATAGTTAATCTTGTTTTTCCTCAATTGTCAGTGTTTCTCTCAGTTCTACATGTACCTCAGGATACTGAGATTCTTAGCCAATAAAATTAACTGTTTTCCTCATTGCTAATCATGAAATTTTAAGATGAAATCCAATAGAAAATCAAGCAATTTCAGTTCTTAGTGGACAAAAATCTGGTACCAGAATAATTTTAAGTATTTTACAGTCCTTTTTACATTTTCGTAAAGCTAAAGATATAAATACTTGCCTGAAATAACACTGAAACCAATTTCCCTTGGGAATGAGAGAAAACAAATTTCAAAGTTCAGAGAAATTGTGCAAACACAGGTAAAATTTCATCATCAGTTTCATTACACCAGTACTTTCAAGTGATTCATGCGAAGTTCAAAATTTGTTTTCAACATTTGGTGTTGCTAGAAATGATTTTTTTGTTGAGAAGATATTTAAGACAGTCATAGTGAAGTTTGCAATACAATGTAAATAATCTTGGTACAAAGTTTTTGTCCACTTGTTACTCGAACTTCTGGTGAATTCTGTCTTAAACATTTCACACCTCACTCTAAAGGGCAATCTTTGAGCAATTCTCTGTTTTTTNACCTCACACTTACATGTAGTCAATAGCCCATATGCACATCTTACTGAACGACAATAGCAATGTTTCTATTGCTAAATAGGTGGAATATTTCAGGTCATGTGTGCTAGAGGCATCCTTGGTTGAGTGTGGATCGATGCTCTCGATCGATACCACAATCAACATCTCAATCAATACTTGATCAACATCCTGATCAGTACTCTGTCGACGCTCTATCGACACTTGATCAATAGTCGGCCGAGTGTCAACAGACTTGTCTGAATCGATCAAAAATTAGTTGCCTCTCGATCTACTGTCAGCTATGTTGTTGATGGAGTGTCAGCCAAGGTGTCAATGGAGTGTCGATCAAGTATCAGTCGAGGGTACCAATCAAGGGTATCGATCAACATTCAAATGCGGATCCCATGCCTTTAGTACACACGATCCAATATTGCTCCAACAGTGTATGCTCTCATTGGCTACTTCAAGGTGTAACATTGAAATTGTTTCTAGCCAAAAGACTCTGAACATACAAGACTGCAAAATCTATGACATCAGAGTGTTAAACTATAAATGTTGACTAATGATTGCTGTTTTCACACTGGATCCGCCAATTTCTTTGTTGTGCTTTATAATAAATCACTTAATGACCAGTCTTCCAGAGGAAAATAGTTAATCTTGTTTTTCATCATTATTGTCAGTGTTTCTGTCAGTTCTACATGTACCTCAGGATACTGAGATTCTTAGCCAATAAAATCAACTGTTTTCCCCATTGTTCATTGCTAATCATGAAATTTTAAGATGAAATCCGATAGAAAATCAAGCGATTTCAGTTCTTAGTGGACAAAAATCTGGTACCAGAATAATTTTAAGTATTTTACAGTCCTTTTTACATTTTCGTAAAGCTAAAGATATAAATAGTTGCCTGAAATAACACTGAAAACGATTTCCCTTGGGAATGAGAGAAAACAAATTTCAAAGTTCAGAGAAATTGTGTAAACACAGGTAAAATTTCATCAGCAGTTTCATTTCACCAGTACTTTCAAGTGATTCATGCGAAGTTCAACATTTGTTTTTGACATTTGGTGTTGCTACATGTAGCAATGATTTTTTTGAGAAGATATTTAAGACAGTCGTAGTGAAGTTTGCAATACGATGTAAATAATCTTGGTACAAAGTTTTTGTCCACTTGTTACTCGAACTTCTGGTGAATTCTGTCTTAAACATTTCACACCTCACTCTAAAGGGCAATCTTTGAGCAATTCTCTGTTTTTTTTTTCTTTGGTAGTTACTGGGGTATTCTACAATTGCTCCTTAATTAATGCTTCATGCATTTCAGGCCTGCTCATTCTCACCCTTCTCCTTCCACCCTCTCCCAATGTACAGTATATTTGTTACAACTGACAATGTATTAATAATTAATATTATTATTAATATTTTTACTACTTTTTGCTTGTAAAGATGATGTTGGAATGACAAGCCAGCACAGACAAATCCTGCGCAGAAATGTCGATAGCCTTCATCGCATAGATCTTGATAAATTGGTGGCTCATCTGTCAGCTTTATTAGATGACGAAGATAAACAAAACCTACGTAACACGGCAAAACCAGCCTACGAAAGGGTAGACATGCTTTTGACTGAAGTACTACCCCGAAGGGGTCCCACTGCATTTCACTCCTTTGTTCAAGGGCTAGAGAAAGTTGATCCTTCAATCGCACAAAGTCTTCAACAGGAAGCTGGAATGAAAGGTATCAACAAGATTTATAATAACATTGGTTGGTGTCTTCCACTTCTGACCCTGTGGGAAGGGGAAGGGAGACTCCCATGTTAAAAGGACAGAGGTGCTCATCGGAAATTTTGAAAAGAACTCCTAAGAAGTATCTGGCTTGAATTTTTTTTTCACCCCTAAGAGGTACCAATTGCAGAACAACACATTAACTGACACTTGCACAAGTAGGTACATGAGACCGTCAGGTTACCTCAACAATTTTCCAGTAGCCATTATCTTCCTATCCTCTCAATGCACCATTACAGTATATCACCCTTCTCTTTCAATAGGATCTTCTAATGGTGAGACATCACCTGGAAAAATGCCTGTACAAGACACTGGTTCGTATTCATTAGATTCACCTGTCCAAGACATTCTAGATGAAAGACCTGAGATGTTAAAAAGATTTAGAGAAGAAATGGACGTAGAGAATGTTTTGGGTAATGGATGGAAGAGGTGGGATATTGTCATTTTCATTATTTCACATTTAATGGTAATCTTAGTTTATAGCAGTGTTCTATTGTTAGCAACTAAAAAGCAACGCTGATCTAAAAAGAGACATTCTAATTGTGAAATAATGTCCATTTAATAGAGTTATAACTCAATCTAATATTCAAAAGCATTTGTATTACTCTTGTTCTGTCTTGATCAGTTGTCAAAAATGGAACATGGATTAACAAATGAGCAGTTTTTGCTTCATAACTTGGCTTTGTCTGTGCAAATTACTGGTCAGATTTAAATAGATTATGCTAAACAGTAAAGCTTGACGGAGCTACAAAACTCTGCCAGTTCAATTACATGTATTTTGCATCAAATTGACCTTTTTCTTGGTACATTGTAACGCACATTCCACAGCACCAGAATGTCATCTTGAGGTTTCCAGAGAAAGAGTGTTAATTGGACCCTGTTATGTTTTGTTCTTGCATATTAGATTTTACAAAGAACTCGGTCTTCCCGATGGAAGAGAGACGTCTTTTGAGGGAAGGGAAGGAGGCCCAACGCTAAATGTTATAAAGGGGTGGATTTCACAGCAAGGACGCAATGCAACCGTTCAGGCTCTGCTTAGTGCTGTCAACCGTTCTGAGCGTAAAGACTGTTCTCATTTGCTTGAAAAAAGTTTGGGATGTCAGCTGGACCGTGTTGATAGCCCAATTGGAAACGTAACTAAGAAAATGGGCTCGCTAAGTAAGTATTAATAATTTGCACAGTTAGCCCCGTTGACTGGCACAAAATTTTCTTGTCTAAGTCTATCAGGGCGAAAAATGGACTCACTAAAATGATTCCAAAGCAACCAATTAGGGAGGTTTAAGAAGCTACAGTACGTCACGGTTTGCTCATTTTGAAAATTTTAGCCTAATATTTTCATGTTCTTTGTTTGTAATCCATGGTAATCTTGTCCATCTTTTACCATTCTTGTTCCTTTATGTTTTATTATTATCTCTTTGGTGTTTTTCTGTCTTAGTAAACTACTATTCTAAGGCTTCCTTCAATTTAAAGGTAGTTCTGTGCGTGACCAAAATAACTCAAAATGCTTTGACTGAGCTCCTTTAAGAACGTTGATTCTCATCTACATACACGTTTTACTTCTTTTCCTTGGTACTTTACTGTCTTCTTGGAAACAACAGAGGGAAATAACCAAATGTTGCGTTACTTGCATGTGCCACTGAAACATAGCAGACTTCACACTTTCTTTACATACATGTATTCATTAAGAAAATGTAGCGCTTAAACCAATCCACGAACTAATTGTATACGGCTAGGTTATCGGAAAATTCGTTGTGATTAATTTTTTACGGTAATGTTCCTAACCTTTGCAGGCACGGGACTCAGAGAAGTGAATTTCTTTGGAGATCTAAATGACAGCCAGGCAACTGTCATTGCCAATAACCTGGGACACGATGCAGAGGAACTGTTGAGAACAGAACTGGGGAGAGGGCTTAATGACAGCAACATATCCACGAAGGAACTTATACTACGGAGTACATCGTACCCAATCCGCAAGTACACAAACTCACTGGCCGACGGTTACAGAGGACAAGCCATTAAGACTTTAAGGGAGGCCTTAGGGACGTCTAAAGGTGTCGTGGGTGAGTGATGAGATACTGAGAACCTACAGTGTGATCTGTCCTCAGACCCTTTATTTTGTCTTGAGTTCATCACAATCGCACGCAAAATATTACCCGCGAGGGATATGATCGAGCCAAAACGCAAGGGGGTGTATATAATATTCATACTTGGTACTATTCTTAGTTATTTTATAATTACTTGTAGATGTTTAGCACAGAGGGCAACTAGTTTATCACTTCATACATGTACTGTCATGTGTCACCCTCTCTAAATAAAAGTTGATTGGTTGACTGACTGACTTAGTGACTGTCTGATTGAGTGAGTGAGTGAGTGAGTGAGT